CTCGCCCTTTCTCCCAGTGTCAACCCTCCCTTTCACTCTTACATCCCTTGATCAGTTAGGTAATACTATCACTGTTACATTAATGCCTGCTACAACAACTCTGCGCCAGCCACCAGGCCTCAGGTGGTAATTGTAATGGCGTTTTATGATATGCAAGTGTAAGATAATAAGAAGTTTTAAAAATTACGCCGATGGGTTTCATCAAGTCTGTGAGATAAAGAAGTTAATGGAGTCGCACTGCCTAAAGGCTCAAAGCAGTACATTTTTATTTTACCAAATGACCTGGATTGGATTGTGTGGCCTTCAGCTGCTGGAAGAATTTGAGTCAGTTTGTTCCAGCTGGATTTATAGACACATTCAGGTCCAAATGAATTTGTCAAAAGATTTTCTTTTACATTATAAATGTAGATTTTGGTTATATCCCGGCCCCCAATGTAATGCATACTTCTTCCCAATTTGTAGAGTGTATGGTGTACCAGTCTAGTTTGCACCACTACATGAAGGTAACATCCCTAACAAGTCACGAGTGGAAATAACGTTATTGTTTACATCAACTTGTTGCTGCAGTGTTATATTTATCCAAGTATTTCATTTGTTGTCCCCGTCTTTAGAATATGTTTATGGTTTGAAAAATGAGGATAAACCTTTGTAAATGTAAAAAGTGGCTGTTAAAATATAGAACGTTTCATTTGCCACTGTTTGTGTGCTTCTGCTGTGAGAGGAATGCTTTTTATATCTCCGTATGCCCTCTGATGTCAGAATAATACATCAACCGTATGGACAGATGAGATAAAACCATATGGATGGATTTCACAAAAATAGATCTCTGTGAAGGGACTGTACGTCAGTGAGATGAAAAAGGAAGGTTGCTGTGATTTGTGAAATCCACTGCTAAGGAACAGAATGCTTAAAAAAATAAACCGGTCCAATAATTAGGACAATAAGTTAGACTTTATCAATCCTCTTTGTAAGATTACTGCGTTTGCTTAAGGATGATCTGCATATTCAGATAGACAAAGATGTATTTGTTTCCCTGTCTTTCACACACACAAACACACACACACGCACATACACACACACACGCACATTGCACTAAAAAAGGACATCAAAACGCAGATTCAGAGCACAGTCATTCAACCAAGAACACAGAGCGCTCAAAGCTCAAATTACTCTGTCCGCGGTTGGGTTTGAATTACATGTTGGCAATGGGCCCATTATTGCCTTATGTGAGGAATTGTGTGTGTGTGTGTGTGTGTGTGTGTGTGTGTGTGTGTGTGGTGTGTGTGTGTGTGTGTGTTGTGTGTGTGTGTGTGTGTGTGTGTGTGTGTGTGTGTGTGTGTGTGTGTTGTGTGTGTGTGTGTGTGTGTGTGTGTGTGTGTGTGGTGTGTGTGTGTGTGTGTGTGTGCGTGTGCCTTGTCAGAACTCTTAGACCCCGGCCACACGAGGACGAAAACGGCTAAACGCATAGGATTAACGCAAACGCAATCGCAAACAAGCTTCCGTCCACACGCAATAGTTATCCGGATAGTGTCTGCCCACACGAGACCGCTCCGTTTAGCTCCAACCGCTGGAGAAGCTGCAGTACATATGCAGGAGCCTGTACGTGGCGCTGTAACTTCCTCCACAGAAGCAGCGAAGAAGCACGGTTGTCATGGTTGCCCTTCTGTTTATTCTCCGCGGTGGGGGCCGAGGGAACCGGGCAGAGTTTTTCACCAGTCATCGTGTATTAAAGTTTAAACCTTCCGACAAAATTATAAAAGTGCCGGTCAAAGGTCTTCTTTGTTATTTATTGAGCTTTAAAATAAATGAATAACGAATCTATATATTATAATAATAAAAATACACGGAGCCTCTCTTTTTCCACCCTCTCTTTGGACAGCGCCAGTGTCTGTCTCATGCAGCAGCTGATCCAGTAATGAGTGCCCCGTCCGACAGTAAAAATAAACATATTTATAACTAGTTTAGGTAGTTTGAGAGGTGTCTCCGTCCTGTCAGATTAGACTTCTCTCGCGTTTATGTCCATATCGAGAGAAAGATAAATAATCTGAATTCAGTGTGCAGTTTACTTTAACGCGGGGGTGAGCAGCAGAGGTGGGGAGAGAGGGGAGAGGCGGGGCTATTGCGCAATCATTATCAGAAAATGATCGCTGAAGCTGCAGTACATATCCACAAAAGCAGCGAGTAAGATCCCCTCCCGGATGTGTAATTCTGCTGTAGATGTTGCACAAAGAACTGTAGCATGGTCAGTAGCGTCCGGAGCACGATAGCAACTCTGCGATCCGCCATTGTTGTCGTTGTTGTTGGTGGCGAAACACATCAGCAATGGCGCGGGGTAAGCGGAGGTGAGCAGAAGAGGTGGGGAGAGGCGGGGCTATTGCTATTGCGCAATCACTATCAGAAAATGTTCGTATAGGGCGCACACACACGGAGCCGTTTGACCCCCCAGAGCGTTGCGTATGCCGTTCTATCCACCTTGGACCCGTTAATCGTTTCCTCAGTCGTTTAGTGCCGTATTCGGTCGTCCTCGTATTGCCGAATGGTCTATATGACACTAAACAGTACGCAAACGGCCGTTTTCGTCCTCGTGGTGGCCGGGGGCATTACACTCACACTAACACACTCATGTAGTACAATGACCACAGCTCCCCCACCACCTGCTGTTGTGTGAGAACAGAGAAGCAGAAAGGCGGGATGAGACACAGTTTGATCACAGTATTAGCTCAATGCTTTCATCTTGACATGGTATTGTACTTTAAATATATTCATTGTGAGCCTTTTCTTAGCAGGTTTTCTTTGTTTAATATTGTTTGGATTTCAGATTCAGATTCAAGTTTGGCATCTGACCAGAAGTGCAAAATAGCAGTGCAAGTGTCTACATGATATAAATAAATGAATGAATAATTATAAATAGGCTATAAACAGATGAAGTATAAACAGTATTGACAGTATCCTAAGGGAGTCCATGTACGTAGACACGTTAGTTTTGCTGCTATAGGGTTAGACTGTCGGGGGACACCTGACTTCTTCCTTCTGTCTGTACCTGTGTACTCGCATGTTCCGAATAACCCAGCTTCCCCCAAATTTCTTTTGGTGTCTATCTACGCCGGGATCCTGAGTCGTGGCTGATCCTGTTGCTGCGGTCCTGAGTCCTGGATCCTGAATCATGTGTCCTGGATCCTGAATCATGTGTCCTGGATCCTGAATCATGTGTCCTGGATCCTGAGTCCTGCATCCTGAGTCCTGGATCCTGAGTCCTGGATCCTGAGTCCTGGATCCTTAGTCCTGAGTCCTGGATCCTGTGTCCTGGATCCTCTATCCTGAGTTCTGGATTTGAGTTCTGGATTTGAGTCCTGGACTTCGAGTCATGGCTGAACCTATCACTGTGGTCCTGCCTGACTCTCATCATACTACTTCCCACAGGATTGTTGACATCCTCGTGGATTCATCTTCTTATTATCGACACATGTATTTCCAAACATTTGGACTACCTATGCTGTAAAATGTATTATCTCTTCGATTTACACACGGCATCTATTGCACGTCTGCCCGTCCTGGGAGAGGGATCCCTCTGGTCTTCAACCGTCCAACATTATCCCACACCACGCCGCTCCTCCGCTCCCAACACTAGCTTCCAGTAACTGCTAGAATCCACTTCAAGACAATGGTACTTGCGTACCATGCTGCGAATGGATCTGGCCTTCCTACATCCAGGACATGGTTAAACTGTACACCACCCAGCACGTGCACTCCGCTCTGCATCAGCCAAACAGCTCGCTGCAACCCGCACTGCGAGGGGGACCCAAGTTCCCATCAGCAAAAACACGTGGGTTTGCTATCCTGGCTCCAAAATGGTGGAATGAGCTCCCATTGAAATCAGGACAGCAGAAAGCTTACACATCTTCCGGGGGAGACTGAAAACTAATTTCTTTCGACTCCACTTTGATCAATAGAATTACTAACAAAGCACTTATATACTAATAAAGGACTGGCTTATCTAAAGCCAGTTGAGTAGCACTTGACATGTTTTGGCTCTATGAAACCTGATGTACTTATATGATTCTGTTTTCTTCAAGTTTATATCTTCCTGGTCGAATGCACTTATTGTAAGTCACTTTGGATAAAAGCGTCAGCTAAATGCAATGTAATCCTCTGTTGCTCTCCCTGAGGTTTCTCCCATGTTCCCCTTTAAAACTGTGGGGTTTTTCTCTGGAAGTGTTTCCTTGTACGATGTGAGGGTCTAAGGACAGAGGGTGTCGTATTGTCATACTGATATTCTGTACAAACTTTGAAGTCCACTGAGACAAATGTAACATTTGTGATATTAGGCTATATAAATACACATTGATTGATTGATAAACATTGAGTATAGTGATAGTATAGTATAGACAGTATTTTATCCGTAAGTCAAATTATTTCCGAAGATTTAGTTATTTTTCATTAGTTCTTATTTGTGGAGGACTACATTTATAAATAAGACTTTGCTGCCGTTGTCTTTGAACTGAAACCAGAGGAGTTTCACCAAGGGACAGAAGAAAAGGACGTAGAGGCACCAAAATCAAGATGTGTTTTTCTGCTTCAAAATGTTTCTAGGGGTCAGTTCATTCTGACAGTGACAATTTGAAAAATGGTCTTTTAGCTCTCAACTCCCCTATTACCTGGGACTAAGAGTAGCTGCACGTATAATGGTACTGAGGACTGAGTGCTGAAAATGACAGTTCTATGTGAGATGAAATAATAAGGTAACTGCAAACATGTGGTGGCAGAAAGTGAGAAGTGGATTCCACAAAAGGGAAGTTGCAATGAGGCAGGCAGTGTGAGGAGAAAAAAAGAGAAGGAAGAAATAGAGAAAAATTGAGAGTGTAGATAAATCCAAGGAAAGGTGGAAGAGAAATAACTACATCTAAGCCTCTAATGCTGCATCTTTTCTCATCGCTGTCAGCCCTTTATACGGTTCTGCCCGTCATTAGAGATAAATAGAAAAACGGTAACAAAAGATTTTCATGGGCCACTCCGCCCTAAGCAAGGTCCACTGCACCCTCCGAGTCGTAATAGCTAGATTTGAAGACCACAATGAAAACAGCCTCTCATTCATCAGCAGCACCCATCAGGTACACAGCAAAGGGTGCTGAGTACAATGTCAGGTAGGAAGAACCTCATAACAGCTGCTGCCGTGTTTACACAATCAGTCTGAGCCCTGAATGAGCCAAGGTAAACATGAAAGATGTTGCTTAATGTAGATATGCCGTTGCTAGCCATCAGCCTGATCAGAGTGGCTCTCAGAGGTCCTACTCTAGTGCCTATTCTGCCGTGAAGCTTTTCATCTAGCAGGGAGATTTATGAATGCTGTTCAGCAGCCGCCTCTCATCTTTGTTTTGCCCAAACAGGAATCTGTGGAAATGTAATTATTGATCTGTATGGCATCCTCATCCTTCTTCTTCTTTTAGCTGTCTGAATGTCTTGAACTGTCTCACACTCCATCAATCATTAAAATAACAGAATATGTTAAACCCAGATGAACTTTTTACAGCAAATACTTCGCCTTTGAGATAACACAATCTTTTGCAAACAGGGACAGAGTTGGCGCTTGGTTATTTTGTATTGGTACCTGCTGTATACTGCGACTGTATGTCCTGAGTATATCCCCGGTGGGTAGTTTGCCCTTATTACTGCTACTCCTGTGTGTCGATGCTGTTAACACAATCATTTTCTAGGTCCTATAACTTCTCCTCTTACATATGAAAGGATAAGCCGTTTGGCAGGGATTACATTGATTATACTGCCATTCGTTGTAACACGACACACCTGCAGGCCTTCATTAGATTTTCTAACCTGCATTAATTTAATTTCTGGGCACCACAACAAGTTGTATATGCAAACGCTGACCTAGTATCCTCTGATAAGGTTGAAATGGAGAAACATGAAACTGGTTAGCAAACAGTGGCCCAATTAACACGTCCAAGATAAAGCCCAACAAATAGTATTCATTTAGAGTTGTGTTTACTCTATTTTTTATTTTGTTTCAACCTCAACCACTCCTGAGGGAAATGGCTGGCTCTTTAGCTGCTAAATGCCAACAATGCTCACCACCTGTCTGTCTTCTATTTTAGCTTGGCAGGTAGCATACAGCCAATTTGTGGAGCAAGATTTGCTTCAAACAGTAAAATTGAAGGAAGTAAAACCAAAACATTGAGTTAAACAATGCCGAAAATAATTTGTAGATATTAGTACAACTTCAGATTTGGGTGAATGACTTTCTGTGGGTTCATCCCTCTTTTACATCCAGATAAGCATTTGGTGCATTAGTAATAGTAATATTGACTTTAAGTGCATTACATTTCCGATATAAAGTGATTTTTCATTAACTGTTCTCCACACACAAATCATTCTGGCTGATTCACAGCCACTGTGCTTTGTATGTCTGTCGTGTGCTTGTGTGTGACCACACAGGATCCTTCTAAATCATTCCCGGCTTGTAACTGTGTCGCTGCTGTGGAAAAATGATGCCAGACTCTTAACAGCTGTTCAGTCGGGAAAACACATGGCCATCAACATTCC